AGCATGCTGGAGATCAGACCAGAGCACCTGAGAGCAAGTGGTCCAAAAGCAGCAGAGAACTCTGGGAGAGGAATGTACCCAGAGGAGTCTGTTTCCCCAGATGGAGATGTGAGACAGTTTTTGGAAAACACTGGGTAATGGTTGAGGAAGAGGACAGGAAAGTTGTTCTCACAGATGTCCTATGGAAATTGGAGGTCCACAATGTAGAAGTAAGTCTCTAACATTTTGTATTCAAACTAGGTGAACTTCAAAGTCAATGTTCTTTCATTACACAGCTTCCCAACCACAGGACTGGGGGGTCCTCCAATGGGAAAGAAATAATGTGCACGGATCTTATTCCAGATCCTTCTAGAACACATGCACCTCACCTTTGATTCCTTGCATAGTCTATAGGCTTGGGGCCCAAATTTACAACAGGTGGGTCAGACGCTGAAATGTTTGAACATGACAAAGAAGGACTCAGAAGGACTATAGAGGTCTGCAGTTTCAGGATTCTCTGACTGACAAATTATTCTTGAAGGGTTTCCTCCCAGAAGCAACAGAATGCTTCACTTTACAAACTGAAACAGCTCACAGGAATTAAAAACAAAATTCCCCGCTTCTTTTCATTCCCTTCCTCTTTCCCCCTTCTTTTCTTTCTCTCCCCTCTTTTCTTTCCTCCTTCCTTCATTTCATTCTTACGTCCCTTTGTTCCAAATTTTCACTAAATATCTGCCATGTGCTGGGACTGAAACATCTATAATATTCTAAACACTGTAGATAATTTTTTTATGAAGGCTTTTGTAATTTCTCATAGATTTCCTCTATTCCTTCTCTCAGTAATAATCTTATATTTGTTATTTTATCAAAACACTGATTTCCTTCAACAGCTATTAAATTGTTTGAAATCCTATAAAGATGTATTAACATCAGCCCACTTTCCTCTTTTGAAGAGCCATATTAAGTGCTTCATGTAAGTAAAATAAAAGTGCAACCTGAGGTATATTCCAATCACTTTATTATTTTGGGGGGGGGAAATCCCATTTTGCTTTTCTTTTGTCAATGATGGGATATGTAGCATTGATGAAAATAATTTGAGGAACAGATTTTGGACATATATATTAGAAAACTTGTAAATTGAAGCATCTTATTTCTCACTGGCTCTATCTCTCTGCTTCATTAAAGCTATATTTCTTCCTCTTTGCCCAGGAAAACTGTTCCTATCTCCAAAGGCAAGTTTGAAATTCTATTAAACTTAAATTGCTCAGTTACTGCAGGATCCAGACAGGCACAGTCACACACACACACACACACACACACACACACACTCACACACAAACATTGGGGGGTGGGGGGAGAGAATGAAGACCAAATAGTAAAAAGACATAATACATAAAGAGGAAATGAAACTTAAAAAGAAGAGAGACAATCTGAGAAAAGAAGCAGCAGAGAACAAGGGCAGGCTAATACACAGTCAGCTTTTGAACTGGGAAATCTGAAAGAGCAAATAGCTTCTGAAGCAAATATGCATGACACTACTATAGATTTCTGGATAATTAGGCATGAGAAATAGTAAGTGGTATATTCACCTACTGCATTTCTGTGTGTGTTTTTTTAAGGTACCAAGAATTTTTTTTTTTTTTTTTCTGTAGATGGTTTGAGACTTAAAAGTTGGTTGAGGGTAAAACTGAAAAGAGTGACAGAGATTCTTCTAATATAGTTTTTGGATAAGCACTGGTCAATTAATTTGACTGATGGATTGGCCTCCTAAAATACACTGAGTATCAAACACAAGGTGCATAATTCTTAAAGGTCTCATTTTTTTTTCTTGTAGTTTAAAAAACAAAGCAATAAAGAGCACAGAAGGAACAACCAGGAAGAATTGGCCTCAATGTCCATTAGAGATTCACTGATGTCAGAGAACGGGAAGGCTATTAGTGTACACTCAGGGGAAGTCCATCATATAACATATGACTTTTTTTTTTTACATTGAAAGGCAAAATATAAAGTTCTCCTTTGGGAAATAATCATTGGATTTTTTTCCCCACTAGTGCCCTGAAAGTATTTTTTTTCTCTACAAATGAACACTCTGTGACATATAGCAAAATGAATACAATAAATCAATTATACTTTTATAAAATATTGATTATTGTTAATCTGTCAGCTCTATGCTTGAAGCAGCCTCTGTATCCTCAATGGCATGTTAGAAGCTCCAGTGCATAAAAGAGAAGTATGCAATCTAGTCGGTAGCAACTTCTAGATTAAACTCTCAATAGCACACAGGAGAAAAAAGTGAAAGTTATATAGTAGTAAGGAATTTTAGACAAGCAAGTGGAGTAGTCTGGAATACAAAGAGTACAAAGTATGACTAGTGTTTCCAATAAATGTTTCCAAGTCATTTTCCTGGGAGGCCTCTGATAGTACCAACCCAAAGATCTAGTCTAAATGTTTTTGTTTAGAGGAAGGAAGTGAGGTACACAAGCTGACTTTTGTATTTATTGTTTTTGGGGTGGGGGGGTTTGGTTTGAGAGTGGAGAAATATATTGACATTCTCATGAGGAAAATCAGGCATTCCTTTCTGCTGACCATTCCGCTCCTCCTGCCTATCAAGTCTGATCCTAATCTCAAGCCTTCTGGGCACATTTTCTGAGATATCCCCTTCTGTTCTTTCTTTTTCATGGTTCTATGGTGGGATAAGAAAATTTTTTTCTACTGTTCTAGATTCTTTTAACTGATATAAAAATTAAGTCAACATGAGACAGAGTAAGAGGAGAAAGTGTCCAAATTTAATCATATACATATGTCTGAGAGAGTTGGAGACCCCACATACTGAGAAGTTCACAGACAGAAAGGTTAAAATGGATTACATAACATACTAAGCAAAAAAAAATAAAAAATAAAAAAATAGGTAAGAACCCTGAGGCTTCAGAAGGGAGAAAGATTATTCATAGGAGGATAAAAAGAGCAAATATTCAGTAGAGTTTTCCCAGCCATATACATCAGTCATAAAAAGTTGTTTCTGGCAATATAGGCAGGACCTCCAATTTAGATTCTTCTAGGTATTTAAGAGAAGGGTAGACTTTTCTCATAAGCCTTCAGGGTCTTCTATTCACTCAAAATAATCCACATACTAAAGTGGTTCATCTTGGAGAGGCCAGTTTCTAACTCCTTCAGTGACATCTTTGCAAGGCAGAATTTACCCCTCATTATAGGGGAGTGAAGTGCTCCCATAGTAAAATGTTGTTTTCTCTTCCTTCCCACTCCTTTCATGTATGCATGTATTCATTCATTCATTCATTCATTCACTCAATAAGGACTTAAGACCTGCTACAAACAGGTACTATTCTGGATTCTTGGAACACATCAATGAATAATAAGGTGAAGAACTGCAGCCTTGTACAGTTGACATTCTAGCAAAAGGAAACAGAATTTTAAACAAGAAACATATTAAAGGATCTATACAACATGTAGAGTTGAGCCATTCTGTGGAAACCAAAGAGAAATAGAGGAGAAGAAAGAAGGAGAAAGGGCTACAGGTTACATGTTAAAAAATGGTTATCAGAAGAGGCCTCATTGAAAAGGTGATATTTAAGAAATAAGAAGCAGCAAGAGGCCACTGCTTGAGTAAGGTGAAGAAAGGGAAAGCATGTTGAGAAAGGAGGTCAGAGAGAAGGAATAGATCATATAGAAACTTGTAGGTCATTATAAAAATTTTGAATTTTTCTTTCATAAAATCTTCAAAAAAAATCTTACTAATTTGTAGAGAACTGACTGAACAAAATAAAAATACTTGGTATATTTTTCATTCTCATTTATGACAAAGTATAAATTCAATGGTCTACACTCTGCATACAAGTTAAAATTATATATTTAAACATAGTTCTAATTTTTTTTTCAATTTAGGTAAAATATAACCCTAGAACTATCCTCAAAAATGTCCATTTCTTCATCCTATTAACAACATCCAATAAAAGGAATGAGAGTACTCAAACCCATGCCTGACCCTGTCACTGTTCAGCTTAAATGTCTACAACATTTGTCATGACTGATAGTTGTATGGCTCTACAGCTGAAGTGTAAATAATAAGGGTCTCAAGTGGTTAAAATGCGGGAAAAGCAGGGTCTACCTAGTACTAAATGTATTTAAGCAAAGACACAGTGACCATCTAATAAAAATCTCATGAGAAGAATTTATATTTTGCCAAATGGATTGAAAGACCACCTCTCAAGAAAAATAAAATTTCAATAGACTTTTATTTGAATACTTATATAAACCAGACATTTCTAGAAGCACTTTATATAGATTATGTCATATAACCCACACTATACTCAACTCTTTGTGTCTGGATTTTATTGTGCTCACTTCATAGAAAAAGCAAATGAAACCACCGAAGTTCATAAAACTAGTGAACTAAGGGGGTAGAATATAAATCTATTGATATATGTTTAATTCTGAAGCCTTGGTATTTTTTATTGTGAATTCTTCCATCCTAACTCTCATAATCTGATAATAGTTTTAACAAATCTACCTTTATTTAACTATTTATTTATTTCCAGAACATATCTATTTTGCAGTATTATAATATATTAAGTTTATCACACACTTAAGGCATTGTTCCAACACAGGTGGAGGACACAGACCTGGAAGATATTAATTACAATTAGATGATCAGAGAAGTAGAACTGCCCCTTGGGTTTTGTGATCTCAGCCTTGATTCTATTTCCTGCACACGTGATGTTTTTGTTTTGTTTCACTTCAGTATCTTTGCTTACTCCACTCTGCCTATAACTATCATCTAATTATCCAATTGATAAATATCTTAACAGTTTTATCATTTAGTTGTAACTAAAATAAACACTATTGAAACTAGCTCCAATGAAGCCAAATGGCACTTAGTAAATTACATAACTAGAAATGCAGTTTCTATGAGTCTCAGGCTCACTGGGTCCATCAATTCAGATGATGTCATCATGCTCCATGTCCCTCATGTTTACTGTCACACTCTTTCTGACCTACCCCCTTGCATATCTTGCTGCCTGGCTTATATTTATTTAGCTTAACCATCTGTTATTAGAAGAAAGCATTAGAAGAAGGCAGAGTGTTTAGAACTGCCAACAGCTTTGACTTCATCTCCTTTCAACTCTTTGACCCCTGAGGTAAGGCCTCCGATTTTCTAGTTTTAATTTTTGCAAATGTCTAAAGAAAGACACTGAAAAGTCCACCAGATCAGCTGAGTAGAGCACTATGAATGGCTGAGCATAGATCATAAGGTAAAATAAATGCAGGGGCCATGGGATTGAATATCCCAACACAGTCATACAATTAAGCTTGCAGAGAAATATTTTCTCTAAGGAAAAGGCAGAGCGGTGCAGAAGTTCCACAATTAAGCCACATATGTCCATCACAAGACACATTATTAAATGCTACCCTCTTCATAGTCCCTCCTGAGCCATCCAATATGTATGAACTCTCATGAACACCTCTTAAAATCACTGACACATTGATTTTGTCACTTTTCTAGACATTGTTACCTTTATCTGAAAAAAGAAAAAAGAAAAAAGAAAAAAAAAAAAAAGAAAAGAAAAAGGAGATGGTCTCTCCAGTGGCCAGGGCATCATAAAACCATAGAAGAATCAGAAATTTCACAAATTCAAAGGGAGATAATTTCACAAGTCTTAGAATAAATTGGTAAGATTAAGTAAAATTTGAAAATTATTTGTGATTAGTGAGAAATTAGTATAGTTGAATATTATTTGCATTAACCTATTATCTAGCAAATGTCTATGCTGTGTGGTTAAAGCTAGATTTTTTATTGTTATTGATTGGATTTCAGCAAAGACAAACTAACTAAAAATGCTTATTACTGTGAGTTGAACAGTGGAAATCCAAGGTATTTGGACTATAATCAGGCCCTTCTGTAGACCTGTTGACAACTTACCCAATAACAGGCAAAATAATTTGGAATGTAGGTCTTACAACCCAAATCTATCAAGTTATATCAATCATTACACATGTTTAAGGAAAAATCTTAAGAAAACAAGGGAATGTGCCAATAATTTTCTTTTTACAGCCCTATATGTCAATTGATACAATATAGCTGCCTGTTATGTCATAAATTTTGATTTGCCAGAACTTGTTCTCTTCTTCTAAACATCAGAGGTGTATACCATAAAAGTCAGATATAAGGCAGTTACATAATTAAATGGAGTAAATTTTTCCCCTGAGATCAGCCTCCTAAAGTAGCTACATTATATTTAACCTCCACTACGTGGGGGTAATCTTATCTAATGTTTGAATGAATGTACATTCAATTTACACACCTGGATTTACATCAATAGCAGTCTCAGTTTTGCAAAAGCAGAAAAAAATTCCTGCATAACTTAACCATAGTCTAAAGGGCCTTCCCAGCTGTAACTGTTGCTTTAGTAAATGTTTTGTTATGAAGTTGAGGGTTCCAGGCAAAATAAGAAACTTCAATGGTGTGTTTAAAATTAGTCTGAAGCCCAGATTCAGAAATATAAAAATACTTCACACATGTCTACATTGTTCCTAAATTTTAATATGCTTTCACAGCTACTCAACAATAACTTGCTCCGAAAATTTTGTATCTTTTTTGATGTACTAAGTACTTTTACCTAAATTTGACAGATAAGTAGACCAAGTCTAAAAGCTAAAAGTGAACCCAAGGTCATAGAGCTAGTTTCTTAGTTTCTTTAGTTGTATGCTGGCATGCCTGTAAATTTATGAGAGAGATATGCCTTATGTATTATTCCCCAGAATTATGTAATCAAAGAGTCTTTTATAGGTGTGTGAAAAATACATTTTGAGAAACTTACCTCTATCAATCTTAGAAGAAAACAAACCTTTACTCATAGGCCTTTTTTATACTGTGAATATTTGAAATATTGTTGATAATGATATGGAAGCTTCTCAAGTCTTGTACCTTTTCTCTAAAAAATTTGCAAAACAAAGTAAAGGATGCCTAACATAGTTTGTTTAAGAAACCCTGATTAGTGGTTCAGACAGATGTATTCTGGAATAACAACCAGTGAGCCATGCCTGGAACACTGTGAAATATTTTGCACACAAAATGCGTCCTTATGCATGAAAATGCAATATCTGTTGTGAGTGGTTATCATCTGGTGGTTAGTTTAAAGGGCTGGGAATTAGGGTAGCTCATCCCAGCTGAGGCTCTAACCCCTCAATGAAGAACTAGGAGCCAAGAAATTTACAAAAACCAAAATGAGTTTCAATCTGGCTTTGTCTCAAGTTAGCACAAAAGGCAGAGCCCACACCTTGGGATCACATGCACTGTGCAAAGAATTGCTGCCTCCACACCTCCTAAGAAGGATTTCTCTTGAAGGGCAAAGATTGCTTCACAGCATCACCCTAAAGACTCTTGATATCTCATTCTGCATAGGACAAGGAACACAATAGCCACTCAATAACTTATTTTTATTAATTTGAGCTGCTTTTTATTTAGATAGAAATGATGCTTTGGCCTATATATGATTCTCCTATGTCAATGGGACATATTTTAGAGCAGAATGTCTTAGAAAAGAGAGACACTAGAGTCTTCTTACTGTTAAATCAAGTACTTGATTTAGTTAATTCAGAAAAAGGTAGCAAATCCATGTATGTGAAATGTTGGAAGCCAGTAAGGGCAAACTTCAACCATTGGAGCTTTTCAAATCATGAGCTTACCTTTTCAACCATTAGTTAGATATGATGAGGAACTTACATGCTTATAAGTAACCAATTCCACTAAGATTTTTAACACATGTCCAGAATTAATATTCTCTTAAATTTTTATCCATAGGAATATATGGTTGTTTTTTTTTATTATTTTAGCTGGTTCTTCTCCCTAGATTTTTAAAAATATATTTTATTGATTTTTTACAGAGAGGAAGAGAGAAGGATAGAAAGTTAGAAACATTGATGAGAGAGAATCATCGATCAGCTGCCTCTTGCACACCCCCTACTGGGGATGTGCCTGCAACCAAGGTACATGCCCTTGACCGGAATTGAACCTGGGATCTTTCAGTCCACAGGCTGACACTCTATCCACTGAGCCAAACTGGTTTCGGCCTCCCTACGTGTTTTTTTTTTTAAATATCTCTGTGAATTTCTGCTTTCCTGGTGGCTATTTCTTTCTCTCCGTTTCTCTACCCACATCCTCTTTTGCGTTCTCCCCAATTTTTGTTGATGGTTAATAGCCAATCATTGTTGGGTTAATAATATGAGAAACATGTCTATGGGAGTAGAAGGAGTTAAAAAGGACTTTGAAAAGCCACTGTGTGATTACCTTGTGGTCTTGAGGTCCTGTCCTATTGCCCTTATACTCCATGTACTTACTGAAGAAAAAAACCTTCCCTTTTACCATCATTAAATGCAAGAAGGTATTCAATAGTACTGAACCTAACCTGCATAGAATAATAAAACAATCAGAATCAGAAAGTAGTTTGGCTCAATGGTAGAGCGTTGGTCTGGGGACTGAAAGGTCCCAGGTTGGATTCTGGTCAAGGGCATGTACATTGGTTGCGGGCACATCCCCGGCAGGGAGTGTGCAAGAGGCAGCTGGTCAATGTTTCTCTCTCATCGACGTTTCTAGCTCTTTATCCCTCTCCCTTTATCTCTGTGGAAAATCAATAAAATATATTTTAAAAAAAAGAAAAAAGAAAGAAAGTGGTTCCATTTGGAGCAACTTTAGAAGACATCTAGCATGCACGGTTTAATGGTTAAAAGTATAGACTCAAGACTGTCATCTCAAATTCATGTCCACTTGTCATATATTGGGATTCCCTAACTCTACCATCCTTTCCCAACATTCAGTGTTTGACACAGGTTGGACACTCTGGGTCAGTGTTGTCTTAAGTTCTGTGATTGTTCTAAGCTTGAGTTTATATTACCATTTCCACATGAAGGCTGTAACAAGCCTACTTTTGAAACCCAATTAAAACCCACGAGAACCTTCTCACTGAATGAAAAGTGACTGCATTTTATAATCTGCCACTTCCTCATCTAATTGTTTTTCTTGTTATTTCAAGCCAAATGATTACTAAAAAACATACATACATATGCATGTATATGTACATATACAGATAAATATAAATACATGTATATACACACAGAGAGAAGTGGATCTCTTTGGAGAAAAATTATTGAAAAGATAAATTAATAAGCATTGTTCAAAAATATTTTTATGTGTGCAAAAAATAGGATTAACTGCTTATTTTCTAATTCCAAATGTAAGTATACTATGGCAAGATATGCCAATTATACTTTGTTATAGCAAACAAAGCAAAAATACAAATTATTTAGTCTTATAATGACCTTTTTTCTGTAAACCATATTCATTCTTGGTATGAAATAGAGCTATCAAAACAAAATAAAACAAAAATCCATTATTTATAGAATAATCATAATCTGAAGTGACTTCAGAAATTAAAAGATGTCATCTGATATAGTTAATTTTACATTTCTTCTCACCCCCAAAATTATGTATTCTAAACTAGGGTTTGCATAGAATTTTATTTTATGTTAGTGTTTTTGATTGAGTGTTAGTTGGATGGTGACAGATACCAGCTGAATAAAATTTGGAGAGTTGACCAGTAATGTTTGAAAGAAAAGCTAACTTTGGAAGGGTTGGCCTGCTAAAGAGCTGAAGATTTCGCCTTCTTAGTTACAGGTACAACAAAATATATTCTTCCATTGATTGCTTTATTTAAAAAGCTATAATTAAACAATAAACCAACATGTAATTTAGAAACTACATTTTATGAACATATAAGAGATAAAGCATTTACTATTAATTGGTGATTAATTGTAGCTTATTTATTGTGACCAGATCAACAAAATGCTATTACTATAGACAATTCCCCCAGGATACAAGAATGACTTTGTTATGCAAAAATGTCTCTGTGTAAAGCTTTAGGCCAGAATCAGATTTTACTATGACACCACTTTATTCTACATAGCTAGCACCACAGAGCCCTGCTCTCTGACCTGTACTGTGAACATGAGGGAAAAGAATACTCATTGTTCCCTTTGTTACTCGTGGAGAAAACAAAAAGGTGTACTAGTAGAACTTGGAACCAGAAGCTTCAAGTCCCAGCTTCACAATTACTCTTGGGAAACTCACTTACCTCACTTTCCTTATCTGTACAATGTAGATAATAATTGATTTAATGACTTCCTAGAATTGAAGTGATTGAATAAAAGTGTCTCCCCCACCAAAATATGCTGTTATTAGATATGTGCAAGAATCTAAAGTTTATTTGTTTATTTAATTGATCATTGACATGGATGGCATAAGGGTAAGGACCAGGCTGCTCATCATAGTTAATAATAAAAATAAGTAGCAAGAGACAAAGCAGCAGCTCAGGTAGAGTGGATATTTGAATAGTTGTATCAGCGAGTGTCATTGGTATCCTAGCACTGGCATTTTTGGCATTGTAGCTAGCTCATCCAGGACATATTCTGAACTCCCCTTTAATAATCAGTATCTCTAGACAACTCTGTCATCCTTTGAGTGGGGGAGTCCTCTCCTTCAGTGTTTGCTAGACAAGAGGGCTTATTACATTACCCTTATTGAATTTCCTTTTGCTCTTCAGCTCTCATTGCCTATGTCCTCTCATTTCTATCAGGCGTATAACATTTAATTTCTCCTTTCCACTCCTTATTGAGTCCAATTTTTATACCAATTGGGAGGCTACAGGATATAGCTTCCACTCCAGTGGGAGTTCTCCATGGAAGCTAACAACCTGACTTGTTAATATCATTACCAATTAATCATTTTAAGCACAAGGAATATACTGAAACTCTTACTTAAACTTTTCAAATATCTATGGCTCCTGACTTAAATGGGACAGTTTAACTCCTGATTGGTAAATATTTCTCTTTTCTTTCCTTTGGCCATGCCTTCCCAGATTTATGATCATCCATTGGTAATGAGTTTCATAGTAGATTAAAAGGTAGATTGGTCCTTTTTGGAAACCTGAAATAGTTCTCCAAAGTCCTTTGCAGATACAGTTTAAGGCTTTCATGTTAGCTTTTAGGGTTCTATACAATCTGTTCAACAAAACAATAGAAATATCTATACTTTGTCAGTTTTACTTGTCCCTGTCTTACAGTACCACTCATTAATTTAGGATTCTTCTTCAGGCTGCCCTATTCCCACCTTAGCATCTTTTTACATGCCTTTTCCTAATTTTTATGTTCTTTTCTCTTCTCTTTCAGCAAGAGTACTTCTAAGGTCTCCATTTTCCTGCTTAGTTGAGGTGTCTTCTCTCTGTACATATTTGTTGTAAATGCCTAATCATTTATTGTCTTTTTACATTATCTAATTTGTCCATTGGTATTGCCTCCCTCACTTTACCCTGAAAGTACTTTGAGATCAAAAACCATGTATTGGTATAAGGTGTCACAGAGATGAGCCAATAACAGGCACAAGGATGTTATAGATTTACCAGTGTGCAATCAAGTGTAACCAGCAAATCTTGCAAAGCACGTGGTTTACAGGCTGGTTCTGTACCCTTAACTGTTAGACTGTTCTGCTCCACATCATTACATGTTGATTGAGTCTGCATTAAACATTTGCACACAATCAACTGGCTTGTTGAGAACAAGGCTAATAACCTCACATGTAGGAATTTTAGAGTATTGAAAGATGGGTTTCAAAGGTCTTACTGATGCATGAAAACAAAGTGAACATACAGAAAGCCAAGAGACATATAAATAAATGCTCCAAGTCACTAATCATCCAAGAGATGCAAATCAAAACAACAATTAGGTATCATCTCACACCTGTCAGAATGGCAATCATCAACAAAACAACAAACAACAAGTCTTGGAAAGGATGTGGAAAAAAGAGAACCCTCAGACACTGTTGGTGGGAATGCAGACTGGTGCAGCCACTGGGGAAAACAGTATGGAGTTTCCTCAAAAAAATTAAAATAGAACTCCCATATGACCCAGTGATCCCACTTCTAGGAATATATCCTAAGAAATTATACACACCAATCAGAAAGAGTATATGTACCCCTATTTTCATAGTAGTGCAATTTGTAATAAGTAATATTTGGAAACAGCCCAAGTACCCATCAGTATTCATGTGGATAAAAAAGTTGTAGTACATTTACATCAAGGAATACTATATAGCTGTTAAAAAGAAAGAACTCTTACCATTTGTAATAGCATGGATGGACCTGGAGAGTATTATGCTAAGCAAAATAAGATAATCAGAGAAAGGTAAGTATCACATAATCTCACTTATATGTGGACTGTAATGAACAACATAAACTGATGAACAAAATAGATCAAGAAACATAGAAGCAATGAATAAACTGTGAGACCTCAGCAGAAAAGTGTGGGTGGGTGGGAGAATAGGTGAGAAGAAGTCAACCAAAGAATTTGTATGCATATATGCATAACCCAAGGACATAGACAATGGGGTGGTGAAGGCCTGGGGAATTGGTGGGGGTCGGTTAGAAGAACTCAATTGGAGAAAAAAGGAACATATGTAATACTTTCAACAATAAATATTTTAAGAAATAAATAAATGCTAAAAGATTGAATGCAAAATTTCCTATATATTTGAGAATGTTTCTTATTCTATGTCTTTCCCACTTACAAGAATTCACAGCTTCAAATATACTCTCAAAGGAGTTCATAACTTCCTCCTTAAAAAATGAGGAGCTCCAACACTAAGGTCAGGAAGATATGATGGAAGCCGACCATCACATAAGTAGGTAATGTGGTTGACAGGCATCAAAATAAATTAGAGTGAAGTATCCAGGTTTGCTTCCAAATTCTACCTTTATTTCTTGGTGAATTTAGACGGTTATATCAGGAAATGCCTGTTCAGGTCTCTTAAAATAGGTTTCTATAGTGGTCTGGGCAGATATTTGCTGGCCCCCATCCTTCCTATGAGGAATCTTCTTCTGACTCCAGCCTGATGCCCACAGCTGATCAGCTGAGTGCCCCAGGCTGTGTACTGGTGGGGTAAAATGCCTAAAGCAAACCCAGAATTGTGGAGTTCCACGGGGAGTGGCCCTGGGGGAATTAAGGAAACAAGGCTCTGATTTCCCCTCTAGCAACAATCCTGTTTCCTCACCATTCCTTCAGGGTGAGGAGTCAGGCTTGGCTCAGCGTGAATTAGTATCTCAAAGCAAGCTTGCCAAGCAGGTCCACAATAATTGTCTTCCTTCCCATTTTAGGAAAAGAAAACCTCATTTCTGATTTTCCCCTGGACTATAGCTCTCATTCGGTTCCTATCTGCCTGGGCTAATGCAGTCCAAAATTGCTTTTTATCCCCTCACATTTTTGATGTTCATCCTTTACTTGGCTTCCCTCTAGGTTAACCTGACTTTCTGAGGTTTTAGGGTGGGGGAGGGAGTGAATGCATGATGTTAATATAGTTCTACCTCTTTTTTCTTTTAGAGAGGCAAATCCCAGTTCCCAAAAAGGCTTTTTCACCAGGCTTTTAAACACCTGAACTGCTCCTTTGAGGATCAGTGTATGTGGAACACAACCTTAGACTATAAAACATGGGAGGAGAGACAAAGTAAAGTTTGCAAAATGTGTCCTGTTTAAACTTAAATTGGAGGTGTGTTCATCTTTATTCAGACCTAGTCCTAATCTTACCTCTAGTTCTCAAGAACTCACTGTTAGGGTCACCAAAGGAGGTACGCATAGGGCCAATTTAAAGAATTATAAACGTATTGGAAAACCAAATGGGCTGAGCCCCAGAATGGCGCCAGCACCCAGGGATGGGGAGTTAGAAGTTTTAAAGGACTCTAGGTGGGCTTTTCCAGTGGAGAACTCTCTGGGCGAATTCAGATGCTGGGAAAGTCTGGAGGAGAGAGATAGGGGAGAGATAATGGTCTTAGCAAGTAGAATGTGGTCTAAGGGAAAGCGAATGTCTGTTGTGAAGTGGTCTAAAGGTCAGTTCCCAGGGGAAGGCCTGATTATTTGATCAGGCCTGCTTCCATGTCTGAGAGTTTTAGGTCTGGTTTTAGGCTTTCTCATGGTGACGTGCTTTCACACTCTTCTACTAGCAAGGACCTGGGAGAACATTCTAATAGAGGAGCATGCTGTTCTGGGACCTCGGTCAATGCTCAGTTTCCTTATGGGATAAATAGGTTGATGACTCCCCAAATCCCTAAGTCTGAGCATTCTCAATTCTCTAGCTGCTCTCCGGTGTGACATAGAACCATGACTCAGGTATCTATATCTATATCTATATCTATATCTATATCTATATCTATATCTATATCTATATCTATCTATATCTATATCATCTCTCTCTCTCTCTCTCTCTCTCTCTCTCTCTCTCTCTCTATATATATATATATATATATATATATATATATATATATATATATATATATAAAATTTAAAGTGGGTAAGAATGATAAATTTTAGAGAAAATAATTACCCCTGAATACTTGCTTTAATCTATGCCAGTTATTGGTCAGCTAAACTTTGAACCAACCACACCCCATTGGTTAGGTCCTACCCTTTACTAATTCCAGCTTTTCTTCAAAATACTGGATCCTGCCTGGATCCTCCTTTACATAGCATCACCAAATCACCACCCATACTTTTTATATTTTTGTGTGGTCAAAAAATTATCTTTATCAATCTGAGTAAATAGGGCAAATCAGAAGCATTTCCACATTTACAAATCAAATTATAAGCTATCTTTTATCATTTAAGATACTCCAAGTCACGAAGAGCTACGAGCAATTCTATTTACAGGTACAGTTGTCACATTTGCTCAACCAAATAGTATCTTGCCACACAACATTGTACAGTTTTCAGTGCACTAAATTGAATAGGCCTAGTAATATTACATTTTCAACACCTTTATTAGGTAGAAAGATAATATGTATGCATGAAAAGTGAAATAATACAAAGCAACAGTACAAGCAATGCAAGTAGTATATGATTAATTAGTCAGCAGCCCTACAAGCCATAAATCTTAGAGTTTAGAGGAGAAGTTAAGCAGGACAGGGGTGAATTGGAGAGGCTCATTGGAAAGGATAATACATGACTAAGTCTTGAAAAATGGAGCGAACTGCTAAAGATGGAGAGGCAGAAGGAATTATTCTAAGAGGGAAGAACAGAGGACATTAAGGGGAAAAAATAATACATGTGGAGAGGCTGCAGACTTGTTTATAAGGAAGCTGTTAGAAATGCTGCATCAAATCTGTCCTTTCATAAGAATAACTTAATAGATCTTGAGACATTTTGAAGGTTCTCCTATGTAGATAACTAATGCTACGAAGACATCAGGTATGTCTAATTAGGACCATGTCACCGAAGTAGCACGGCAACTACTGTGTTTCCCCGAAAATAAGACATCCTCTGAAAATAAGACCTAGCACATGGAAAGATAAGACATCCCCTGAAAATAAGACCTAGTGCAACTTTGGGAATTCCATCACTTAAGGATAAGAATGTTCAAGGAAGTTCAAATATATCAATAGATAGCTTACAATATAAAAATAATACCATGCACATTATAAATATGGAAAAGTGATACTTCACCAAAAAACATGAAACACTTTTACCATCTTCCACAGGCAAATAAGTTTCTACAAGCAATTTTTCAGCAGTGATCAATAACGTCACCACTTTGGCCTGACTAGAAATACTCCCATCAGGATGCAGACAGTCATTAAGAAGATGTAGAAAGTATAAGATGCCACAGACATGGCACCAAAAGGACTTTCCATCTGTTTGGGGAGAATGTAGCCACTGCCAGATGTCAAAGGGGGGATAGAAAGTTTGGAAAAAATAGTATCAATTATCTCTCTGTTCTTGTCCTCTAGCTTCCTGCTAGTGTTTGCCATTGCCTAATTCCAACCAGAAAGGTGCCAGACAAAGCAAGCCATAGAAGCAGTCTCCTGGGTCTCAGAATAAGGGTAAGACGTGCAGAAAATGGATGCAAGAGGTTATATAGGGAGATGACATTGCCGGAGGAGACAGTAACTTATCTCTTAGGTACCTGTATATTCAGGAAGGTCAGAGAAGTCATCTGGGACACAGGACCCTGCGAGGTCAAGATGCTATCCTACAGGCTGAGAATCTCTCCTTAAACAAATAACCAATACACTATATCATTACCTCCAGGAACCAAGATAATGCAAGAACTTGCTTCCAATTCCAGCAACTCTGGACTCAGTGAGTTTGAAGGATTGTATCATCAATTACAAATATTGGTTGTCTTGCCGTAAGTGAGGACTATGCTTTTCTGCCCTTTTCATGTCAAATTTATTCATGTGACTGACTAGCTAACTAAATGTGATCAGAACTGGTTTTCAGTTAAGCTAATGGGGGCACAAATCAGACATCAAAAGGTAGGAGGAATCCAGCGAATGTTGCTCAGTGGTTAAGTGTTGACCTGTGGACCAGGAGGTCACCATTCGATTCCTCATTGGGCCATATGTCCAGGTTGCAGGCTTGATCAACAGTGTGGGATGTGCAAGAGGCAGCCGATCAATGATTCTCTCTCATCACTGTTGTTTCTATCTCTTCCTCTCTAAAATCAGTAAAATTATATATATATATATATATATATATATATATATATATATATATATATATATATATATTTAAAGGAGAGGGACAACTTCCTTTCCTCTTCTTTCTTGCTACAAAACCATAACTGCGACAGAGGCTGCCTCCGTCCATGACTGCAATCCCATCTAGGTGGCCTATTCTCCATGATTCCAGCTCTCACTGGGTTCTAGTAACACTGTTTCTTGCCCCTGATCTTCAGGCCTGAAATGGTATCAGTTTTCAACAGTTGTTAGCATCTGCACACTTTACCATGCCTTGTTGACATCTTTAACCCCAGCTAAGCACCCATTTTATTCAAATCTCTTTGAGTTTTATCATTAATATTCCACCCACTTCTGGCACCCTGTGCTTGCATAACACCGTGTATGTAATATTATTCTTCTAATGCCGAAACACAGCACTCATTTATGTGTCTAATTAAAGACAGAAACTGGATCTTAACTGACATTGAGGAGCTGAATACTTACATGGATTTTTCCATCGAGGTAAACCCTGAACCTAGTAATTTGTGTTGAAATCCTTAATTTTCTTCAAAAGCAAGTTTTTGAGCTTTAAATTATTTCTTTAATTATGTTCATGTTCTCAAAATTTTCCCTGGGAAGACAAAGCAATTTTCTTTTCTTTTCTTTTTTTTAAATATATTTTATTGATTTTATACAGAGAGAAAGGGAGAGAGATAGAGAATTAGAAACATCAATGAGAGAGAGTCATTGATCAGCTGCCTCTTGCACACCCCCCACTGGGGATATGCCGGCAACCAAGGTACGTGCCCTTGACCGGAATCAAACCCAGGACCCTTCAGTCCACAAGCCAACGCTCTATTCATTGAGACAAACCGGTCCTAGCCAAAGCAATTTTCTTAAATAATAATTTAGTGTTCTTTAGGAATAGACTACCTGGCTGACATTTGAGATATTAATTTCTGACTCCTGACCCTTCTTTATATCAACTTCCTATCAAAATCCAGCCAAAACCAAAAGCACAACCCAAATAGAAGATATAATTTGTTAATTTAGATATTTTAATCAATCCAACCAGTAATTTAATAGATTATTTGTGCCCATTACATTCCTAGGTTATTTTTGTTGATTGGTGGTAAAAAGAGGAAGAAGGATTTCTACCCAAGAGTTGCTAACAATCAAACTGAACAAGGCCAATGCACATGAAACAATTAGTTAATAGTACACGCTGGTATATGAAAGCATTCTTAATGGGGTGATACAGACACTAAGAGCTTTGGGAGCTCAGAGAAGAGGAAAATCAATAAAACATAGAGTATTCCAGGAAGGCTTTAGCTTGAGGGAGCATGCAGTTTATATTTTGGAGTGGAAGGTTTTAAGGCTGTGTTTATCCTGAGGCATTGGCAGTGTCTCTCTAAATATATGCTACTCACAGGATGGAAGAGGCAATAACACACAACAGTGTCTACCAGCCATCCATTTCCTCTAATACACAATGTTCACACTGCTGAAACTTGGCGAGTTTCACAACTGGCATCCATGTGAGCAAATACACCACAATCACAGAAAAAAATTACTGGATGATAAATCAGGAGACCTCTTTCTTCTCTGTGCCCTTCAATACACATAATAAGAACAAATGGCCGTGACCTTCCTTTGCAGAACTCCTCTTATAAGGTTTTAATAAAAATCTCATTACACTGAAACCCTGGCAGGATGTTCATTAGAACATCTCCACAGTGTGTGTAGAGACCTTAATAGCTACTATAAGCAATAGGAATTAGCCAGTCATTTTAGAATTGAATTGACCATGAATCTTTCTCTAGATTTAGGCAAAATTTCTGGAGACAGGCTCTTTATTACACCATGGAATACTACCTAGGTTTATAAACATGCAGGGACTTGTAAATATTTATAGCTTCCAAAACACGTATCTGGAAGATACTTAATAAATATTTATGTGTAATGGTGATCATACAGATAGATTAATTCAGATGGGAATTAAATAGCAACTACTATAAAACTTGGATTAAAGAGATGTACCGAATTTCTGAATAATAAAGTATAAATACAACTACTTGATTCCTCTTTATCTTTCCACACTTTTTCTGCCAATGATTATATCGGACATTTTTATGGTAGTGCTCTTAAGGAATGGACAGTGGTTACCTGAGAATATTTCTATTTATCCTTTAAATAAGCTTAGTGAAGTATATGTTTCCTAGTGAGAGCATGTAGCTGTCCCAGTAAGTTGTCATCTCTCAAGTCTTCTGGTAATTCTCATTGTTGAAGTCACTTTGGAATCCACCCAAGAAAAAATTAATACAATTGTTTCTTCACTTCTCTTCCACCTTCTAACTGCTATTGTTTTATAATCACATATCAAGTTTAATCAAACTTCCTGTTATATAATATTGGGATCTACTAACTTTAATTAATTTGAATTTATCCCTTAAATATCTCAAACTATCTTTCTCTATAAAGAAGCAAATATCAGTGTTATGAAACCATTTCTCATTATAACTATGAATAAATTAGTAGCCTTTATTTTCAAAAATGTGTTTCAGTGCTCCTAAAAATAATTAAGGTCACTGAATTCAGATTATTTGTTTCTTTGGTGCCAGTTTATGGCTAATAATTATATACTGGAAGCTGTTAGTTACAGAAAGGCACCAACCCAAATTTTCCATATTAGTCTTTGGATGGTACCTAGCTTAATGTGATTATTGCAAAAAAAAAATTTTGTTTTATCAACTT